AGACTATGGAAGGCATCTCACTTTGAACCAAAGTTCCTTCTCATCTCCTCATATCACTTCCATCACTTTCCTGAACCAGTTCCCAAACTCGGTCCTGGGGGTCGGGGAATGCTTCGACCCACTGGCGGCCCAAGTTTGTGCCAGCTCAAACCAGAGCTCCCATGCCTTAGGGGCAGCTTTCGACCCCACTAATGCCTTAGCCTTCGACCCCACTTCCCATCTCACGATGCCGGCTGCTCCCAAGGCCTCCCTCCATCTTTTGGCGACGTGACGCCGAGCTACGCACGCGGAGTTACGCGCGTGAGTGACACGCTCCGTCTTTGCCGCGGCCAGCGTGTTTCTGGTCACAGCGATGAGGGCCAAACGCTGCTGTGATGGTCTTCAATGAGTCAGATCGTGCAGAACAACCAATGTATCCAAATGTGTGCAAAAGAAAAGGCACCTCTTCAAGCTTCTGTGAATTTGGACCAGCACCCTCCAACAGGTCTCCTTTTGAGGGTTGGGAAAGGCTCGAATACAGGTCGTGCAGTCAGTGACGCCTGAAGTCGGGTGCTGAGAGAGACCAGACTTTCAGCGTTCACATGCCCAGCACCGCGCAGCCGGAGGCGCTCAGTGACCACTCCTGGAACGACTCCGTTCGCTGCACCGTTGGGCGCCGAAGCCGAAGCTACGAACAGGGCGCAGCCATGCCATACGACTCGTCACAAGAAGCTACGAACCGGAATCCCAAGGGCATTGCCTACCAAAGGGGGGAGCCAGAAGCTACGAACGTGGGCTTCGGGCTAGGATGGGCTAGGGGCCTATGGACACCAGTTCAAGGGTCCTCGAAGCGAGGGATGACACCTGTGGATGACACCTGCACGCCTGACACCTGCCGTCCACCTGCACCTGCCGTCCGGGTGACACATGTGACGAGGTCCGGTCCACCAGTGGGAGTTCAAGGCCACCTGACAAGTTCGCACCAATCCACCACTGGCTTCGTGGCTGCGGTCGGGTTCAAAAGGGAAGTCTGACGTGGTCTTTCTCATACCCTAGGGATGCCCAACCACCATGGTGTTCCATTATATCCAATAAATGTTGAAGGGATGTTACATGGTGTTGCTTTTTTATCTATTTGGGGTCTAGACAATGTATTCTAGCGCTTTACCGAACAACCATGCTTTTGCCAAAGATCACTACACAGGCTGCCTTTTTCTGGTAACTTTTTTCTGTCTTGTTTATGATTTTTCTGGTAGTGCTTTCATATGGTGATGCAGGGGTACCTGGTGGCTTTGGTTTGGCTTTAGTGAGGTACTTCGGTTTTAGCCTCCCCGCTGGCAACTCAGAGCAGAACGGGGCAAGCATCCCTGGCCACTGTGAGCAGCACAGCACTGTGAGCAGCATAGCCTCTAAGCTAGCCACAAGAAAAAACCATTGAAGCGAAAAGTCACAGCACCCAAAAGCGACAAAAGCCAAAAGCTAGAGAAGCTAAAAGCTAATGGCTAATGTCAACATCGGATGAATCAACCCCCCCTTCAAGGTCAACAAGATCAACAATGTTTGAGATTGGAGGTATTGGAGACCACGTACCCTTGATAAAGGTGATGACCTGATGATGGATGATGAGATGATAACCTGGACCTGATGATGGATGATGATGGGTTGATGCGATTCTGTCTGAATCATGAGAGTTTGAACCATGAGAACCATAAGGGCTCTGAGTATATTGGCACAGGCTTGATAAGAGAAGAGATCTGATAGGATAGATCTGATAGGATACATTCGGATACATGATAAGAATGATTGATGGATGAGAGGATCAGCATGGGAAAAGGGTGGATCAGAATGCTATCTCTCAGAGATGGCATGAGAAAAGGTTGATCAGAAGATCAATTTCACCATGGAACAGAAGATATTGGATACTGACCAAAAAGAAATAGAAAGTAAAAATAGCTCTATATTATATAATTGGGGGCTCGAGCTCGAGCTGGTCTCGAAGAAATAATAAGGGGAGGTTACTTAATTAATAGACTTAATCCTGTGTCAACATTACAGAAGCCAAAAATCTCCAAACCTATATATATATATAATCCCTACAGAAGCCAAAAGCCACAAAAGCCCAAAGCCACGGACGCCAAAAGCCGCCGAAACCAAAAGCTACAGAAGCCAAAAGCTACAGAAACCACAAGCCACAGAGACAAACCAAGAAGCCAAAAGCCAAAGCCACCAAAACCAAAAGCCAAAGCCAATCAAAGCCACGAAGAGCCGCCAAAAGCCAACAGAAATTCAAAAGCTACCACACCACAAACTACGGTGAGAAAAACCTCTAAAAAACCCACAAAAAAATGAACTCCCATTACATGACCCAGGTCAACGGTTCATATAAATGATCTTGGAAGGCCTCGGGCATCTGGGCCGAGTCCTCCGCGAACAACGAACGAACCGAACGAATCGCTCCTTCCTCGGTGCCAGGAGAGGTGGTTCTCGGCTCTGATCCAAAGCGGTGAAACGTGCACGACCTGCCAGCACGACCTGACAGCAGATCAAGAAGGGACCGGTCAGAAAACTGGGAGAAAAACGAAGTAGTAGTGGGTTGGAGGCGATCGCTCTGTGGTTGGAGGCCATTGGGTTTTCTTCGTTGGAGGCCATCGCTAGGTTGCGGGGAGGCCGCTCACGATCCCAAATTTGGATGACTTCCAGGCCTCCCGGACCAAAGTGGGGGTGTCCTCCTGTCCCAGAGGGGCAATGAGCCGAATTAGGGCCTGCCTGGGGTGTGATTTGATCTTCACGTTTGGAGGCCAAAAGCTTTCTAAAACGGCTGTCCGGCGTGGGAAATCAACCCAATGCAACCTCTGGCCACCCTGCTGGTGGCGTTTCTACGAGAAGAGTCTGCGATGTGCCGATCTGAGCTCCCAAGCTGCGCGCTGCGCCGAAGTGCCTGGGGTTCTCAGCTCACAACTGTCACAAAGTGCTAAGACATGAGTGCATCAAGAGACCCTCAAACAGGAAACTGGTGACAACATGTGACAACAGGTGCGAAACCACGCCTCGTATACAACTCATGACTCTCTCCTGATCTCTTCAGCGAAAAGGCCCAAATTGCAAGGCACAGCGAAAGCCCTGAAGGATCGGCGCCTACCTTGAAGGATCGGCGCCTAAGCTCCCTTTTCTTCTCAGCGGACCGGTGGGGGACTGTTCGAGGAAAAACACAGCCCGGACGTTTCGGGCCACGGGCTGTGTGTCTACCACGGTACGCGCCGAAGGGCTGCGAAGGAAGCAGTGGGGCCCAAACCACGAGGTCCGAAGCACTGCGCTCTCTGTGCGGTGCACACCACCGTTCTTTGGGCTACGGTGCGACCACTGCGACCACAGAGAAGAGGCACAAAGGAAGCAACATCAGCCAGCAGAAACATGGAAACTGGAAAGAAGTCGATTGCAAGTGACCAAGGGGCTGAGGTGGCAGGCACCTCTGCGATCACCACTTTGCTCCTCGAGGGCCCACACAAGTCCCAATGAAGCGCTTCTCCAAAGCGCTTAGCTATACAAATGCAATGGGAAGTCTAAACGTTAATTCATCTTCGCTCTTCATCTTCGAAGCGAACTGGTTGACTTGCCGTTCTGCTTGGCAGGTCGCCCCCAAAAAAACAGCTCCGCCGCCCCAGCTCCGGAACCCAACCACCGAGCGGAGCACGGGACCCGAAGAAAAAAACATAACGCTCCGCCAGCATTCCAACGTAGGGCACGGCCGATCCAATCAGCGCTCCGGCGGCAATGCACGGAGCGTTTCCAAGCAGGACACGCCACCATGGGCGTTTTGCAGGTTTCGGCGTGTCGAAAAAGGCACCCCACTTCGAAGGACAAAGTGCAGGTTCGTCTAAGGAGTCTAATGCCACCAGTGTGAGAAGCAAGACATCGGCAGACAGTTGGGAAGTTTGAACCAGTTTGGCAGACGCAATCTGAAGAGAAGACCTGGGTGCATCGGCAGATTGGCTATGCTGATGGATGCTGGTGTCAAGAGTCAGAGACGTCCCAGATTTGCGCTGAACGACCGAGCGACGATCCACCTGCTTGGTCAAAAAACCGTCTACTGTCTACCTGTGGATGATTGCTTGACCATGATGAACCCATGACATCCCATGACCATGTCTTTTTGAGATCGACCCTCCCTCCAACAAGTTTTGAAGTGGGAAAGAAACGCTTGCTTTCGAAGGTAATGTTCCACTTCCATACTATTGGATTGAGGATCATTTTCACCCTGCCCATGTCAGTCATTGCCCCCATGCACAGGGGTGTGTGTTCGGTCGCGGCGCAAAGCGGAGCTCAGCGGTGCAGCAAGTACCGAAATAAAAAAACTGCAGTTCCAACGGCTTCCACTTCCAAGCTTGGCTTGGCCGCAAGCCTCATTCAAATCATGTGAGTTGGTCCTCAAAATGAAGAGAGCCCCACGCAAGAAGGATCACCAGGGATAATCGGATAGACACAGATCTGGGTCTACACCAGGACCCCCGGGATGGGTGGTTCAAAGACACACCGAATCAGGTCGAGTCTAAGGATTCATAGACACCCCGAAACCTCTTGTCAAAAAGTGCCCCTCATAGGATAGTTTTTGGCTTCTCCTCATCTTGATCTACGTGGCCCACCCCGCTGATTCAGCCAACAGGTTACGAGAGTCGCAGCTCGGCTGTGGCTGTTGGCTCGGACGGTGGTCCCAGGTGCTTCCCGTTGGCTGGTAGCGTGGCGAGCCCCAAAGCATGAATCTACGCACTGGCACGCCGAGAGCAGAAACCGCGTTTCGGGAGAGCCGGGCGATCTGCTTGCAGAGCTGCTTGATGATCCACATGACGAAGTTCCGGGGGAAGTTCTGAACCCCAAGTAAACTCTTACAGGCCCTTGGGCGACCTCGGAGATCCACCCCAGGCAGCTGTTTTCACACAGCGCCCCGGCAGCACCGGGCCCAGGTCATCAAGTCACCGAGAGACGAGGCACCCAGTGGTAGGACGGTCAACACGCTGTCAAGAGCATCACATGGAAGTGATGAAAGCCTGTTTTTGGATGGCGCGATGAACATCTTCCTATAGCCAAACAAATGCCACTTCCCCCCAAACCAGTGGTGCCCTTTTGAAAAACAAGTGGTTTGTCCATAGGTGTCACCTTTTTTTCACCTTTCTTGGATTTTAGTGGGCAATCCCCCAATTGGGTGATAAGACTGGGTAGGGGTGAATGTCCTCAAATCAATCCAAATCCTTCAGTTTGAGGATGCCTGGATCATGAACACTCGGAGTCTTTTTGGCGCCTTTATTGACTTTATTGAACTCTCTTGCTGCAGCTTCTGCTTTGGGGTCACATGACCACACCTACGCACGTGCCGCGCCCAGTGTCTCAAATGTCAGTCGTTTTGAGCTCCTCTTGAAACTGGGCTTCATTCTCTGCCTCAATTCGAGCCATCCTCTCCTCTCTGTGTGCCGCGGCCGCCGTGGCTTCATCCATAAACCAAGGCTTGGTAATCTCATCAGATGGAAGCCTTGTGGATCTTCCTGTCGATCGTATGCTGGTTTCCACGCCGTCCGAGTGTATCTGCCTTGGCGAACTGGGCAGTGCGCCAAGTGAATGCTGTCAGGACTCTCTGTAAGTTTTTGTTCCGCAGTAAACTTCGCCCATTCGGGGGTACTCATCAACCAGCAGACCAAAAAGGTCAACCAAAAAAAAACTAATGACAGAAACCCACATCTGGTGGCTTTCTTTTCGACTGAACCAAAGACCTGCAAGCCCAGCCACTGCCCCTCTTCCCCTGGCTTCGGAGCTTCCTCGATTGCTCCAATCGTCGATCGGTTTGTGGAACGGATACTCCGATTGCTGCGGCTGCTCCGCTCGCTGTTCGTCTCACTCTGGTAGGTGGAGATGGAATGTGTAGAAATACGGAACTGCTGCAGCATCCGCATGCGCTCGTCGTTGTCGAAGTAGGGTGCCAGGGTGGTTAAGATGCTGGCCAGCATGCGGCGGTCATAGACATTGAACTCCTAGAAAGTTCAGGCTGACCAGTGTCCACCGAAGGGAATTCTTGTAGGTACTTGGAGCAGGTTGGCGACTCTACGACTGTCCAAGGAAGAATGTTATTTTTCAATAAGGTGATGCTGGTTTCTCCTCATCAACAGCAGAACAAGCCCAAGTCCATCGTCCGTCAGCCTAGCCCAAATCTGTTACTGCTTGATGCTCGAGAAAATGAATGAAGAGAAAAAGAAAAGGACCCATGGGAGTTGGGTGGTTAATGGACAGGGCTCTGGTATATTCTACAGAGAGGAGAGAGGAGAGAGGAGAGAGGAGAGAGGAGAGAGGAGAGACGTGTCTCACTCCTCCATGGTATCGTAGATGAAAGCATAGTCTGCCTCATCCAAGCCAAAGCAGAGCGCCTCAAGGCCCCTCACCAAATCCTCTGTCGAGGGGGCTTCCCAAGTGTAAGCACCGTAAGCTCATTGTGACTGCCTCAGCCAGGGTTCCATAGCGTTCCAGGGACAACGGGTGGTTGGTCACAGGTGTTGCTGAATTTGGGGACCATTCCAAACAATCTGCCAGAAACCATCTGTCCCCCCCGCGTGTGCCGGGCCTCTCTCCTCCCTCTGAAACCGGCCGGGTGGCCCATGGCGGACTTGTGGAAGAAGGCCGCCAGCACCAAACACAGCAAGACGAAGGTCACGGAGTACAGACTCCCCAAGATGAGCACCGCGAGTACGGAGTAGGTCGCCTTCACCTGCCCCTCTAAGGCGTCGAGGAAGGCCGAGCCGACGGCCAGCAGCAAGATCAGCAACATGCTCATCAAGCCATCGGCCAGATTAATGATGGGAGTCTTCCAAGGCCAGGTCACCAGTTGGATCACCATGTAGATTTCCTAGCTATAGCAGCTTTTTAAAAAAATCGATGTGTGCAAGAAGGGAACGTTCGAAACAATTGGCAAAAGATCTGCCGCTCTGGATGTACACAGCCAGGACAACAGCCCCTTTCTAGAAATGCTACGGCCACAAAAACACGCACAGCCACGACAGAGTCGTGACCAGGACGTCCCGCTACGCACTGGTCTAGTCTGGTCTACAGGGTCCACAACTCGTCCGGTGGTTTTGGGACACCCCGTTCCTCACCTCTTTTTGAGGCTGTTTAAAAGACACCTCTTGGTGTCGGTCCTGGTAGATGCAAATGACTTGGACTCGGACTGTCACCCGGAAATAGAAATCCGAACCAGTGGGACAACCCAAGCGGTGAAACGCGTGTCGACCCGCTTCAGAGTGTCGGTTCAGTGGTAGAAATGTCTGCACAGGAGTTCTATTGAAAAGGAGATTTGCACAAGCGCGGATCGGGCAAACGACCCCGGCTGAGCACACCGTGCGTGGTTTCCAAAACCGGTCTTCGACTGTGAATTCTGCGTCAGTTGCTAGAGGCAGGATTCAATGTGGACTCTTGATTAATAAACCCCCGCATATTAGGAAGAGGTGGCTCAATTCAATTGGAGGGGAGTAAATTCATCAAGAGTCTACATTAAACCTTGTCTTCAGAATGTCAAAAGGAAGCTCGACCTACTGTCCACATGAATCGCGCCTGTTTGGACCGAGGTTCCAAGGCCGCTGTCATGATGAAGAGCTGCACTTGGGGAAGGTCCGTGAAGATGACGATGGGCAGGGTTAGCAAGGGCCCACGCAAAATGAACCAAGTGCCATACCACCAATAGTCCGGCCGGAAGCGGAAGAAGAGAAAGCGACTCGCTGCGAGGAAGAAGGTGTCGTTCACCGCGGAGCGGAGGGGAGCCACCCGTGTGGCAAACACCAAGGTGCACCAGTAAAGGATCATGGTTCCCGTCATGAAAACGCCAAAAATCACCAAAATAATGTGTTCCTCCCCCTCCCAGCAAATCACATCGGTGACCTCCAGGACGCTCGACTTGCCATTGGGATGGGTGTAGCACATGAAGGGCATCAAGGCCTCGTGGCGAAAAGGGCGGAGCCCCAACGTGTCGGAGGTCACCTCGAACGCATCCCCAAGCAATGAGCAGAGGTGGGTGTGAATTACAATAGGGAGACCGAACCCAGGCGGTTCCGACCTGCAAGGCTCGGGAAACTAGATCAGTCTACCCAGCCAGGGGGGGATTCTTGGGCGTCTCCCCATTCAAAACCTCCAGGTCATGCAGGTCCGCCTGACGAAGCCTGCCGTCCTCACTGGTTTCAAGCCGGTCTTTAGCCGCCCCCGCACCGACGAAGACAGGGCGGGTTGGCATCTCTAGGGACCCGAAACAGTCGGTGGACGTCGAAAAGATCCCAAGCCCTGGCTGCCACGATGTCCGGCCGAAGGGCTGGGGAAGAAGGAAACAAGCCGGTCGATGCCAGGAACCAAAGACTGAACTTACTTGGGGAAGTTCACAACCGGAAAGAAGACCCCCTCCATTCATCCACCAATAGTAAAAGGCAATTTTATGTCCCCCTGTCGGTCAGTGATGCGGCTGGGTGTTTCAACCCTGGGTTTTTCCAACGGAACATCAAGGGAATAGACTACTACAGTAAGGCATACTAAAGCTACGGCCAAGGAGATCAACCTACCAGGGTCAACGGAACTGCTTTTGACCCACTGCCATGGGATTGATGTTTGGGTCTTTGGGTGCAAAGCATTTGTTTTCTGTTCAAGTCAGAACACCGTCTTCGACATGATGGTGAATCCCATCTGAAAGATCTGCCCAGCGGTGCTCACCGCTTTGGCTGTCACAAAGCGATACTTGTAGAAACGTTTAGGTAGGCAACCGCTGGCCGCAGCGCAAAGAAACAACCACAGCAAAGCTCCTGGCCAGAAAAGCACGCTTGTGACATAGGACGACACCGGAGTGGCTCCAAAGCAATCGAAGTTCAAGGCCTCCAAGTCCAACATAAAAATGGATACCTCAAGTCAGGATGACCACCACGGAGGTGTCCGATGGGGAGGGAAATGAGCAAAAAAAGAGCCCGAGCTCGCCGGACCGCAGCATGTTAGGATCGTTGAAGTTCAACTCCCCTAAACATGGAGTGCTCAACCTATGGAAAACTGGAAAACACTCCTTTGGGGGGCAAGGAATATGCTCGAACCCTGCACATGGGATCTTTCAATCATGTGAAGTAAGTGGTGTTGGTCTCCAGCGGCTTTGGCTGAAAGGTTTGTGGAATCGCACCCATCGAACAACGAAAAACAACCAGCAAAAAAATATCGAACAACGGGTTACGTCCACGACATGTGAGCCTCCTTCAGGAGGACCCAAAGAGGCAAGGCATAAGCTAATGGCAAGGCCCTGATCAATCAACCATCATCTGATGACATGAAGCGTCACCAACTAGTCTGCACCTCGCCTCCACATCCACTAGGATTTTTTGTGCAACTGGACTTCTCCCAAGACTTTCCCATACTCCCCCGGCTCTTGCACACGACCTGCCCGGTCTGTAAGCCGAAACACGAAGCCGACGAGGCTTTGCATGTAGGGCGGCCATTTCATGCCAACGAAGCCCACCAGGCCCACCGTCTGCAGCAGCGTCAGGGTCATCCCGAAGGCCACGGTGGTGCTCAGGAGGGTCGACGCCTACTGCGGCCGGGCCGAAGGAAAGTCCTTCGCGCGCGAGTTGGGCGCCCGCGGTGCACAAAAGGCGGCGGAGGTGTGCCAGCCTTGCCTAGCACAAATATTACAGTAGAATCTCAGGCAACACACGTTGAAAAACCATGGATTGTAAAACCCCTTCATAGGGGGCTTAGTCATCTACATCATAGGCGAATTGGAAGGAATTGGTCTTTCTTTGATGTTTGAGCCGTTGATGCTCAGTCCACGATGACGGGCAACTCCCTGGGTGCCTAGTGTCCTCAAATAACCTCCATGTTCAGTTGCGTGTCAACATCCGGGCGTGCATCCACCAAGCTCCAGGACAGGCACTTGCGCCAATCAAGGGGAGGGTGGGTGGGGTTTTGCGGGAGCAAGGAAGGAGAGGGTTAGCGCGCTACATGAGAGGAGCCGCTAGCCAACCCCACTCCCTGCGCTATTTTCTTGCAATGGTCCACACACAAGGCCAAGCCAGCCTGCACGTACCACCCTCAAACGGCTTGTCTAACACCATGGCCGTGACAATATTACACACATGTGCGGCTTTTGTGGCAGAAGACCAGGCGGCACCCCGCTGTGGCTGAGAGAACCCATCCATTCGTTTTGGTGAGCCCGTCAGCTGGGAGAACAGAAGCAAGAAAGACCCGTGCTGTGGCAACTCTTCACAGCGAAGCGGCAACAACACTAATTGGGCCAACGCCTCAAATGCTGCAACGCGAGCTTGCAGAGCTCCCTGGTGAGCTGAACCAGCCCGGCAGCTGAACCATAGTGAACTGAAAGCAAGAGGGCTGCGGATTGATTCCAAGCCGTCCGGAACCCACCACCCACCAATCAATTCCAATCTCTGCTCACGAATGCGCAACGGACATCCAATGTGACAATGAACGGCACTACAAAACAACTGCGCTGCCCACGCCGATTCTTTGCAGGTGAAGGCGCTCGGAACGCACGCGCTCTCAGCAGTATTGAACTGCACGGTCACCGAATGTGACTGCCACCCCAAGCATGCATCACATGATGTGACGCGCGGCATGGCTTGAGGGCCTATAGCCAGACGATGTTTTCGCCAAGCCTCACCTTCTCCCAAGAGAACGGAATGCCCAGGACACACGTAGAAGTGCCACGCAAGCAAGCAAACAAGCAAGCAAGAGCCCCACTTTCGAGGAAAGAGGCACACGTCGTCATCCACATAAAGAAACCCTCCATGTTGGACAAGAATGAAGCGATGCAGGCGCCGCATCACGAACGCATCCACCCTTGAGAACCAACATGCGGCAATGCGCTCCAAAATATGCAGCGTGTGTAGCGAAACCAACGGATCTCATACACGAAGCAACTGCTCTTCTTCGGCTACACAAACTTGCGCGCACCACGGACGTCCCAAGTCCAGGCCGACCATACAGCGTCCGCAGGTGTCATGGACGGAAACCGCTGTACGCACTCCAAGGTTGGGAAGCATTCCTTCTCGTCGTGGATTTGACACGCATCCTTCGTCCCAGATACTGTGCCATCACCTATGCGGCGAGGCTTTCGCCCTTCAGCGTACACAACGCCGAACTTGCCAACGGCAACGCGCTCGCCCCTGCGAAGGCGCGCTTCGGCCTCTCCACCGACCACCTCACGCAAATGCCGGGCACGCAAGTCTTTGTGAATCAATTCCCTATGGTCTGTGGGCATTTGCACGCGCTGGCCCAAGGCTCGCGGTGAACCAAAAGTTCCTCTTCAACGTCGGCATCGCTCGCTACTGGTTCCTACACACCTGAGAAA